TTAGGCTTCCAGACTGCGGAAGGACGCAGGGACATGACCCGACTCTTAGGGAATCGCTTGTTCCAAAACCCGCTGGGCGTCGACGGCCTTCGCTCCCTCCTTTTCGTTCTTCTTCACTTCCTTTGCTCACGTTTTCTTCCTTGCTCCTTCTCTGTTGCTGGACGTCCTCCTCCTCCCCCCTCCTCCTCTTCTCTTTCCTCCTTCCTCCTTCCTCTTCTCCTCTCTTCTCTTCCCCTCCTCCCCTTCCTCTTCCTCTTCCCCTCCTCCCCTTCCTCTTCCTCTTCCCCCTCCTCCCCTTCCTCCTCCTCCTCCTCTCTTTTCTTCTTCTTCCCTCTTTTCCCCTCCTCCTCCTCTCTGTTCCCCCTCCATCTCTTCCTCCGCCCGCCCTCCTTCCCCCGCCCACACGCCCGACGGAGCTCCAAGCGAGTTCCCAGCCAGCGAGGGGAAATAAGCCGATCCACTCATCCACCCCTTAAATCCACTTATTTTCCGCCATTTCCGCAGTTCCAAGGATAACTTTGTGGATTCAAGAAAAGGAATTATGTCAAATGATTCGAAGTATGATAAACAAATTGAGTTGTGATTAGTGTTTTGATGCTGAAGTGAACATAACTCGGCCTATGAAGCATGTTATTTTTTTCTTCTTCTTGATCGCCAAATTGTTACGCAGTTGGACGAGGATTGCTAATCGGCTTTCCAATTTCTTATTCATCTGATTACTGATTTGATTACTTCATGAAACACAACAGCTACCATAAAGTGAAGAGGCAACAGATGCACAGATATATATATATATATATATATATATATATATATATATATATATATATATATATATATATATATATATATATATATATATATAGTATGCTTGCAAATGAAAATTCTAGTCAGGAACAGAAATAGAATGAAAACCTAAAACCAAGCTCAAGAAAAGGACAAATTCTCACCTTAATTTTCCTCCTTTAAGAGGGAGATTTTTGCCTCGGCCTCCTATCATAATGATAATGATAAGATGATGATAAGGATGATAATAGCGATGAAAACCGCAAGATGTTTGATAGATATGTCTGGGTGTGCGAGTGCGTATGGGTTGATATATATTTTTTTCTTTTTTTTTTTTTTTTTTTTTTGAATGGTACTTTACACGTAAATGTAAATGTGTTGTCTAAGTTGTCTTTAATGTAAGGGAAAAGTGATAGCCAATATCCTTAGAAATTATTAATTACAAGGCTATTGACAATCATATCAAGTTTATGTATGTATATATGTGTACAAAATGGCCTACTTAAATCACTGCAGCTTGTCATATATTTTTTATTGATATAATCTGCATTAATGTTTAAAAATCATGTACCTTTTCCATAGAAAATATATCAACATTCTAGCCATTGTGCTTGTATGTTATCTTTAAGGATTTCACACAGCTGTTTTATTCTCTCTCTCTATCTATCTGTCCACCTGTCTATCTATCGATCTGCCTACCTATTTTCTATCTGTTTGTCCCTCCGTCTATTTAAATCTATCTCTACCTCTTTGTTTCATAATTATGCCTCATTATTCACATGTATATGGTGAGCGTGTGTGTGTGTGTGTGTGTGTGTGTGTGTGTGTGTGTGTGTGTGTGTGTGTGTGTGTGTGTGTGTGTGTGTGTGTGTGTGTGTGTGTGTGTGTGTGTGTGTGTGTTTGTAAATGTATTCATATTTATCTACGCATTTCTGGACTTGTTTTCATACTTCTATTTCGCCTCAAAGCCAGTGCCTTGGTGATTTTGTTCTCATTTCCAAAAAACAAAAAAAACGCAAAATTCCACGGATAACCTACTCTAAACCTACTTAAAAAAGCGATAAAAAACAGACGGAATACCTGGTTATACAACGCTCCACGTATAACCTCACACACACAAAAAAAATCTAATTTTCTACTACAGTCACCCCTTATTCCGCCTCCATCTTCTGTAATGGATACCCGCCGTTTTTCATTCATGGTTCGGCGTCGCGGGAAGAGAGGCGGCAGAACAATTCCTATCCATCCCTCTTGTTTTCGCAAATGGAAGGCGATCGCACGGCCGCCTGACTGACACGTCGTTATATTCGAGATGGATTCGAATCCCGACGGGGTTTCCAGGCTGCTACCGCCGCTGCCTCGCTCGGTCGCACCTCGTGAATTATTGTACTCTTTCCATTCCCCCCGTTTCGATTTTTTTTTTGGGGGGGGGGAGCAGCGTAATATGTCACTTTTTCAGGCTTGCCAAATTTCTCCTAAGAGTTTTCATGGTGGGAAAATATGAAAAGGGATTCTATCTGCTCCTGTATTGCGATGTCCCTGGCTAAAGATCTCATACCTTACGCGTGTTTAAGTGCGAAGGTCAAATACTCATGAACTACTTCTTTCTACAGTCATTTGCTCATATATCATATACATATATTTTGTTCTGCGATAGAGTTACCACTTAATTTAAGAAGGGGATACGTTTTCAAGCAGCTAGACTGCGGGAAACCTACGTATGTACTACATAATTTGTGTAAAATAAGAATTGTACAGTATTAATAAAGATGATGTACATACGTATGCAATTAAATCAGTGTAAAAAAAAAAAAATAACTATGTTTTGCTTGGAGTGGACTGTGGAGGGTGGATGGTGGATGACTGATGGTGGATAGTGGAAGGTGGATGGAGGATGGTGGAGTTGCGTGTGGAAGGAAGGTCCTACTCCGGCCAGGCTCCTCTCCACCTCCGCTGGTGGGGTGATATCCGGGGCGTAGGAGAACCCATGGCGTCAAAAGTGCGAATTAAAGAATATTATCGTGAAGATACAGCTCCCTACAGTTCCCTTCGTGCCCCTGACTGTCCTTTCGGCGGAATTCTGAACAGCAGAAGGCACTGCAGCGAAGACAGCAGAAGCAGGGAGGCATCTGCTGGCAGGTCGCTCGGGTTTCGTCGCCCAACGAGGTCTCACGAGGCCGCTGTTGGGACCCAAACCGCGGTAGAAAATTGGAGGAATTAATTATTAGATTTAAAAAAAAAGACATTACGTAAACTATGGGGTGACTGTATTTTTTTCTGTCGTTGTTATTTAAAAGCTGCTCGTTCTCGCTTCGATGTTGTGAGAAGTGTGACGACGTCGAACACGGTTAAGGCGACCCTCGAGAAAGATCGCTCTTTCTCCTTCCTCTTCCCTTTTTATCATTCCATGTAATTAGTATTTAACAGGAAGCGACTAACGGACTTAAAAGAGAAAATGTACATAAATGTATAAAAAATACTAGTAACAATTATGCCATATTTGGAAATAGGCGCCATTTAATCCACACTGCTTATATTAACGCAAATAAATGGATTTTTTAGGGGACGCGGCTGTTTCTTGGGTGTAACACGTTGCGACTCTGTGCCAGCTGTCATTGCCACAGAGAAGGACTCGCCGTCAACGTGTTTCATCGTTCCCAGTGCCAAGTGGCTCGATGCCGCACCGCGCGTTAGTGCCATACGCAAGACTACGCCAGACCCGCAGGAGTCGCAGGCACAGGAAGCCACAGAAAAGAATACCGATGAGGCACAAGATGTTGTAAGACCCCCCAGGTACCATACATGCCCCTCCCCCTGACCCCAAACACACACACCCTCCGGATCTACCCTGGATCCCCCCACCCCCTCACCCTCTCAGTACCCCCTTCTTCCGGTGCCGCCAAATCAAGCCCCTCTTACTTTCTTCTGGCTTTGTACCCTGGGTGTAGCGACGCCCCCGACCCCAGGGGAAGGTGGGGAGACGTTCCCCTGGGGCCGCCAGCCAGGTCGGCCTCACAGCTTCCCCGCATCCAAGGGTACCAACTTTGAGCCAGTAAAAGTACCACGGACCTTCCCAGAAAATGGGTACGCGTGGATACCCTCCCGGTCTCTGTGGCTCAGGCGGCTCCTCCTGTGCTCGGAGTGTGCTTCGTGTGGTCTTCCCGGGTCTGGAGCTGATAGTGATAAGAATCATGTGGAACTATGGAGGTGTTCTAACCTCTGCATAGCTTATATGATTAAGGATTGTGTTTCCTCTAATTCTTTTTCAATTGTTTCGTCTTTATCTTCGTATTCCTCCTCCTCCTCTTCTTCTTCCTTTTCTTCTTCTTCTTCTTCTGGCACTACCAATACTATTCCCCGTTCTTCGTCAACCTTTCTTTTCTTTTCTAACAAAGGTTATAATCGTTAATCAAGAAAATATTTCCTGCATTGTGAACTCTTCGAAGTGTACGAAGAGAAGAGATATTCTGAAGATATTTCCCCTTCCGTGTATATATGTTTCCTAATTATTGGATGACCTGTTGTAATTCGTGCTTGTAAACACGCCACAAAGTAGAATATATTTTTGTTCCGATAAAGCTAGAAAAGTAAGAAAGAGAGCTTCTTATTTCTTGAAAACCAGCACAAAAACTCTGTCGCTGATCCTTTCATAAAGACATTACACAAGGGCTGTTATGGGTCTTATTCTCATTTACGAATAAGAACCAGGGTAACTCCCACTGACTGCCCTCTATTGCCAGCCGAAGCGGTTTTCACTTATTTCTAGGAGCCATTGTCACTGTCTCCTTCACAAATTACATTAAGTGTTCGGTTTGCATAATGTCCCGGTGGGCGTGGCAGGTGGGCGGCCGCGAAGCCGGTGGACTTTCGCATTCATGAATGACTCGTTCTGGATCGTCCTTTGAGGATTTCTTTCTGGTTATTTATCGTTTGTGATATTTTTTTGTTTCCCGCTTCCGTTCCATATTTGTTTTTGGAAAGTTGTAAAGTTTTTGTGTCACAACAGGTGTCGTTTTCAGATTGGCTTATATTTTGTGGTTTTGAAAAAAGAAATCAATTTGTATCTGTGTGGTATAGATACATAATTATATATATATATTATATATACATATATATAATTTGTTTATATATCATAAATGTATTCCTAATGATGATTATTTGTATCATTTACTTCATCTCAAGACAGGTTTCCATTTCGAGAAGCAGAAGAGGCC